AAACCTGGCATGCCTAGCGTCATACGGTAAGGAGTTGAATCTTACAATGCGCCCGCGCAATTTGCAAAACAGAAACCAATCCGGACAGTGATCAACGACTGGAGTTTGGTTGAAGGTGAGCTTGCTGGCACTTGCTTCTGGATTTCCCAGAGAGGCTTGGCAGGCAATGCTTTTTGGTCAGTTTGCTTTTTGACTTGCACGGAGACAGTGGCTTCCGCACACCGTTTTTGGTTTTGCTTTATTTTCCCTCTTGGTTTACAGGCCAAGGAAAGTAGGTTGGGGGAAGGAATTGGTAAAATCCATTCCTTCCCTGCCAGGACGGGGCAGCCAAGAAGCGGAAGAAGTGGCAGGCCTTGGGGTCGGTGTGTTCTGGGGCCCTGGGCTGTTCAAAGGCAATGCGCGAGATCCTTCTCTTGGGTTACGCAAGGAGTGCCCTTTGTGGTGATTTCACGCTGGCGGGCTAGGCTTTGTCAAGCCTCCCTTTTGAGAATTACTACTCAGACTGCAACCCAGGGGTGGTTGATGTTGGTTGGACGTGAAGACTGTGGACCCTGCCCGTGGCAGCTGGTTGGCCAAAAGAACATGACAGTTTGCCCAAGCAAGCAAGCAAGCGAGAGCAAGCGAGCAAGCGAGAGCAAGCAAGCAAGCGAGAGGGCAAGGAAGGAAGCGAGAGCAAGCAAGCGAGCGAGAGCAAGCAAGCAAGCGAGAGCAAGCACGCAAGCGAGAGCAAGCAAGCGAGCGAGAGCAAGCAAGCAAGCAAGCAAGCAAGCAAGCAAGAGCAAGCAAGCAAGCAAGCAAGCAAGCAAGCAAGCAAGCAAGCAAGCAAGCAAGCAAGCAAGCAAGCAAGCAAGCAAGCAAGCAAGCAAGCAAGCAAGCAAGCAAGCAAGCAAGCAAGCAAGCAAGCAAGCAAGCAAGCAAGCAAGCAAGCAAGCAAGCAAGCAAGCAAGCAAGCAAGCAAGCAAGCAAGCAAGCAAGCAAGCAAGCAAGCAAGCAAGCAAGCAAGCAAGCAAGCAAGCAAGCAAGCAAGCAAGCAAGCAAGCAAGCAAGCAAGCAAGCAAGCAAGCAAGCAAGCAAGCAAGCAAGCAAGCAAGCAAGCAAGCAAGCAAGCAAGCAAGCAAGCAAGCAAGCAAGCAAGCAAGCAAGCAAGCAAGCAAGCAAGCAAGCAAGCAAGCAAGCAAGCAAGCAAGCAAGCAAGCAAGCAAGCAAGCAAGCAAGCAAGCAAGCAAGCAAGCAAGCAAGCAAGCAAGCAAGCAAGCAAGCAAGCAAGCAAGCAAGCAAGCAAGCAAGCAAGCAAGGCAAGCAAGCAAGCAAGCAAGCAAGCAAGCAAGCAAGCAAGCAAGCAAGCAAGCAAGCAAGCAAGCAAGCAAGCAAGCAAGCAAGCAAGCAAGCAAGCAAGCGGCAAGCAAGGCAAGCGCAAGCAAGCGCAAGCAAGCAAGCAAGCAAGCAAGCAAGCAAGCAAGCAAGCAAGCAAGCGAGCAAGCGAGCAAGCGAGCAAGCGAGCAAGCGAGCAAGCGAGCAAGCGAGCAAGCGAGCAAGCGAGCAAGCGAGCAAGCGAGCAAGCAAGCAAGCAAGCAAGCAAGCAAGCAAGCAAGCAAGCAAGAGCAAGCAAGCAAGCAAGCAAGCAAGCAAGAGCAAGCAAGCAAGCGAGAGGGCAAGGAAGGAAGCGAGAGCAAGCAAGCGAGCGAGAGCAAGCAAGCAAGAGCAAGCAAGCAAGAGCAAGCAAGCAAGCAAGCAAGCAAGAGCAAGCAAGAGCAAGAGCAAGAGCAAGAGTAAGAGCAAGAGCAAGAGCAAGCAAGCAAGCAAAGCGGCTTGAAAGTCAGGGCTGGGTAGCTGGGGTGCTTCCCATTTAAGAGGCTTGTAAGGGATCCTATGTGCAGTTCATTTGAGATTCCCCTTGAAGGGTGGGTTGGGGAAGCGCATCATACAGCTTCATGGACGGACCTCCAACCTGCGTGAGATGGTACATTCTGGATGGCTCCCTTTTGTCTTTGTGTCAAAGGGAAACCAAAGGGAAGCTACCTATTTCAGCCACTCCCCTATTCGAATTTTCGCGTTTGCCTTCCAAGACAGAATCCGAGGTTTGGGATTGAACGAAGGCTGATGGATCCCAACAGGTTAGCCATGGTCTTAAAACCCTGGGGTTTGAGGATAAGGAACATCTTAGATGCGAAGCTCCACGAACTCTTAAAGCAACCTGAAAAGGGCCCTCATCCCAGAAACCGTGATCATGGCCATTCGAAAGAGAACAAACCTTCATCTCCCTGCTAGCCTCCCGCATCTGCCTCCCAGCCCTTCCGAACATACCCTGCCGGGGGTCGTAGGGGAGGGTGAGGAGGGTTCGAACAAACAGAGCAGGAGGAGTCGGATGAGGAGGATGAATCGGAGGCCGCTTGCGTCACCGTGGAAGAGATGGAGGAGTGGAAGGCTGTGCCCCTACTGGAGAGCCATGGATGGCTTGATTGGGGAAAATTCTTCAACAAGGTAGTTGTGTGTGTGTGTTGTTTGTTTGGGATTACCATGTGTATATATATATATATGTATACATTGTTCCCACGGAGGGGGTAGAACTTTCGCACCGCAGCCTGAATCCACATTCTGGAGACACATGGTCCCAGAGAAAGTCTTGGGCCGTCAGGATGGACGAAGCCACAAAGAGATTCCGAAGACAAATTCCTCCCCGAACACACAAATTCCTCCCCGAAGACGAATTCCGAAGATGAATTCTGCGGACAAGCGTGTGCCTACTGGCAGGATCAACCAGTCTCTTCCGGGTCTCAAGAGCGTTCTAGACTAGACTTGGGATCCAAACCGGAGGAAAACAAGATGCGCTGAAACGAAACCTCACGAGGGACTTGTCTGCGTCAGGCTTCGTGCCCGCGCGCGAGGGAGAGCAGGAATGCTGATGATGCTGGGGAAATGGAGCCGGTCGACAACTTTGGCACAAGATGCGCTGTGGGATTCGTCAGCTTTCGTTTTCCGCATGCAGGGATGCAAGGGGAGGTCAGGAATGCTGGCGATGCTGGGCAATGGGCTCCGAGCCCGTCGACGCCTTTTGCGCAAGATGCGCCGAATGTGGCGTCATAGGGTAGTGCGGCGTCAGGGGAGAATGCGTCGTCAGGGGGCAAGCGGCGTCGCAGGGTAATGTGGCGTCAGGAAATAATGTGGCGTGCAGCTGAATGTCCAGTCTGCGGCACAAGTCCTTCCCTTCTGCCGACCCTGTGCGTACATAGATGCACAATGTGTATATTTGTGCAGAGCAGGTCCTCAAAATGGCTGGTTTGTCTTTGGCTTCCCTTCGGGACACGTGCCCGCTTTTGGGCATCCGCATTGCAACCTGTTTTACAGGTGTGATTTTGGCATTGGGCGATGGCCACAGCGGCTAGCGTTTCTGAACAGTCCCTAATCGATTGGCACACAGAAATTTAGGTGAGTCTAAACCCGGATGATATTTTAAAGGTAAGGGGCTCTCTTCACCAAGGTAAACAAAGGTGAATAGTCAGACATGGGAGAGACAGCCCTTGTAGTTTCTTCCCTCAAACCATGACCAACTCACAAGGGTAGACACTTGGCATTATTTTTTTTGTTTCCGGGCATCGTGAGAGGGTCTTTCAAACACCCCTGCGCTTGCTTTGCTTGTTTTTTGTTTTGTTCTAGCAGTTTCCTTTGGTGGTTGCAGCTGTTAATGAACTGATTGAGTGCCAGCAATCGGCCCGGGTAAATCATTCTGATGTCCACAAAAAAGAAAAACACGGCATCCACAAGCACAACCTTCCCAACGAAAAACAAATGCAAAGTGACAGCTAAAAGGCATGTTGACTAAGTTGACGGGTTTGAATGGTGTGCTGACCTTTCATCGCCCAGGGTTTGTAGCCCCTGGTTAATGCCAGTTGCTGGACAGCGAAGAGGAGCACCCCTTGGCTTTTTGGTTTTGTGTTTTGCCAGGCCAAGATGGAGGAAGAAGAGCGGCCCCGGCCACGCTTAGCTCAGTGTTTGGAGCGATAGAGTTTGCGGCGACTGCGTTTTTTTATTTTTGCAAATTGGGGGGGGGGGGGCCTGGTTTGGTGACACCCGTAGAATTAAAATCCCTTTTTGTTTGGGGGGTTCTCTATGGCCTTGAAATCCTGCACCAAATCAGGCAGTGCATCTCACGTTGCCAGCGGTTGCTAGGTTTAAGTTGGTCCGTTTGGGGTGGAGTCAAAGAGTGCGCGCCCTCACCCCAAGCCGAGGGAGATCTTACCTCAGACTCACATTCCACACTGCAGTAGGACAAATTCCAAGTTTTGCCCCGCCACCTGCACAATAGCGACATCTTTTCGGAAAGTGCTCGGAGACAACTCGGGGGCCCCATCAGGCTCCTCAGCTTTCCTCTCTTCGTTGTCAACATGGTGCGAAGAGAGCCATTGGTTCAAGCTGGAGCTAGACCGATGGGCACCATATGAGCCGGAAGAGCTTCCACATGTGAACCCGAAGGAGGCTTTTAGCTGTGGTTCTAAGCGGGATAAGGGCGGCGGGACAAATTGCCTGCTTGCTACGACATGATGCCCCCAAATGAAACAATTGGGAACAAATGGAAATTGGGGAAGCAGATTCAATCGTTTGGTTGACTAGGCAACGACAGAAGTATCATGGAGCAAGCCTTACCCCCCAATGCCATTCACAGCGGGTATGTGGCAAGTCCTTTTCTTCACCAAAGACCGTAGCCGAAATTCTACTCCAACCCCACGCCACCCAATCCATGCCTTAATATAACTTCGAAGCCCACTGCGCCTAATGTGACGCACGCAAACAGAGATAGCGTCTAAAAACCGATCAGCATCTTTTCTCTTCGGGGGCTGCTTTCCCTTAGGTTGGTGATGGGGACACCAAAATTGTGGTTTCCCCTTTTAGCACCAAGGTGAAAAGGGCACCCTCGAAAAACACAGCCTGGTCGGGGCAAATCTAGGGAACCCTGTCGCGAATCAGAGCCGGAAGAACCAGCGCCGGCTGGCCACTCGCTTCACATGGATGCGGAGTTGGAGAGCCTGTCTGCCGGCAGCCCGGGATGGAGTTGCGGTGCCGGGAGAATTGCACCCTGTTTCTTCATTTCTTCCAAGTGTTGATTCAAATAGGGGTGCAATTACTCTGCAAACAATCTAAAAAGCAGCAGGTGGGTTGGGGGGAGCCCCCCATGATGTTCGAAGAAGTGATGATTCAAATAGGGACTGGGACAGAGGATGAGCCAAAGCCAAAATGCCAAAATGCCAAGAAGCCAAGAAGCCGAAAAGCCAAGAAGCCAAGAAGCCAAAAAGCCAAGAAGCCAACACGCCAAAAGCGGTGGGAAAAACACGGGGAACAAAAAGAAAACAAAAACTAAAACAAATACCCCTCCAAAAACTAGGGGCCCCTCATGGCCCATAAATTCAGCATTCCAGGTCGGTCCGCTTTTCAGAAACCAAGCCCCCAAAAGCAAACCCGCCATTTGCTTACTCTGAAACCAACTGGAAAAAAGGGACTTATTGAGCAATCTTCAAACATCATGGTGGAGGCGGCGGCAGCCCCCCCCCCAACCCCCCCGCTACTTTTTAGATTTCTTGCAGAGATTTAATTGCACCCCTATTTGAATCATCACTTTTCGAGCGTCCAATTTCGCGAGAAAATGCTGTAAAATACGACATTTTAGGTAATCTATGTAGTCCATGTATGTCTGTATGTATGCACTTCTTCGAACATCATAGGGGAAGTTACCCCCGCCAACCCTCCCGCTGCCTTTCAAATTCTGTCGCACCCGTTCTTGAATCATTGCACCCCTATTTCAATCATCACTTCTTCGATCATCATGGGGGGAGGCTGCCGCCCCCAGAGCTATTCGGATCATCACTTCTGCGAACATCATGGGGGGGGGCTGCTGCCCCCCCAACCCCCCCCCCCCCCCCCCGCGTTTATTTGTTTTTTTTACAGGGATTGACATGCCCTCCTATTTGAATCATCATTGTTTTTTGACCCCGTCAACCCGCCAGCTACTTTTTTGATTATGTTACCCACGATTTGTTGGTGATGCTAGGGATGTTGGTCGGACATGCGGGGGATGTTGAAAACGATGCTGGGGATGTTGGCGGGCTAGTGTAAAATGCGTCAATTTCGCGAGAACATGCTGGCCCGGACGAAAAACGAAAAAAAAAATCAGAAAAAATCCAAAAATAAATCCGCACCCCTAGTTTTTACACCAATGCAGCACGGAGGTTTTAAACACCTCTCTTCGGCCCAACAGCATGGTGAGTTTCCCATGGGGGTGATGCTTGGGAACTATAGAGAGCCTGTGGAGTTTCACCTGCCCCCCCCTCCCCCACCCCATTCCACCCCCACCCCACCCCTACCCCACCCATTTTCATGGTTATTGTTGGGAACCATGTTGCATTTTTGCTTGTTGTGGTTTAGTGGACAATCCCCACTTCACTGCTAAATTCAAGTTTTTGCTCCCCTTCCAACGTCAACCGAGTTTTGGGGTCCCCAGTCCCTTGTGAGACAGGGAACCCCAGACCCCGCCCAGCCGCTTGAGGTCGGGGACCTCAAGAAGCGGCTCTTCTGGTCCGGGGGGGCGCTGCCGGAGGGCCACCTGGAGAAGGCCAGCTCCACATGGGCCGCTTTTGGGCGTTTTCACCCCGGGTCTGGGGTCTCCAAGCGGGTTTTTCATGTGCTGGACGAAATATGAAGCAGAATCTGTCAGAATCTGGGTTTTAGGGTGTTCTGCGTATCCAAGATGTGGGCCAAGATTTGGGCGCGTTTGTTAGGCTCGGTACCAGGGCACCCATTTTGAAGGGTTTCTGAAGCCATTTTGGGGTTCAGGTCCCCCAATTCCAGGGTTGGGCAGGAAGCAGGTGCTTCAACAGGTTCAAAGAGGGGTTGCCCCAACTCTGGCCGATTCCATTTACAGAGTTGAAAGGGACAAATCTGAATGGGGGTCCTGGTAAAGGGATCACTTTCCGCTCAACAGGACCCTTTGGTGGGTTCCATGTTAGAGGAAAGGATGAGGCCCCAGAAGCCGCAAGGTTGTCCCATGTTTTTTGTTTTGATGTATATATATATATAATCCTTGCGTTTTGGGTGATTGGCTGTTTTTGTTTCTTGATCACTTCCATTTGTGTACTTCGCTGTTGGGTGCTTGTTTGTTTCCCATCGGATCACTTTCATTTGGCAACAGTGTTCCTGGTGGGCTTTGGATGGTAACTATGACTTACTTTGAGCTTTGTCATGCATCTAAGCGGCAAACAAAAGGGAACCGTTCCAACAACTGTTAAAATCCATGTGTATATTTAGCGAATTGTTCACTGTTCCATGTTGGATGTACAGGATACAATTTTCACAGGGACACAACTCTCACTGGCAAATCTGTCACTCTTTCAGTAGCAACTTGAGCACATGGCGACATTTGTCTTTGTGTTTCACAGGAATCCAGTTTGGGGCTAGGGCTCATGTGTTTCAATGGAGAAACACATTCCTCTAAAAATGGGGGACACACGGAGAAATCGAACCCTCGTCATTCAGCTCTAATCCAGTTCCCCTATCAAGGAATGAAGGTGCCAACTATATTTGTTCAATTGCGCCAAAGATTGCCAGAGTCATCTATGATGAACCTGTTCAACTGTTTGTCCTTTTGGTTTTCCTGCACTTTCCCTGTCAGCTAGCAGCAAGTTAACGAGGAGATGGATACGCTTTTCATGTTTCCAGATCTTCGACTTGGCACTCAGAGAATAAACCGCCCATTGATGAGGCCAGGTTTTTTACCAGCCTGTTTCCTCCAAAATGGGCCCACGCAGTGGGGTTATCCCACCCCCCCCCCCCGGTCATCCCACCCGCCCCCCCCGCAAACAGCCAGGCGGAGCTTGTGAAGGCGGTGGAGCAGGCGGAGGCGGAGAAGGCGAGGCGCTTCGCGGCGCAGGAGGAGAAGCGCCAGCAGGAGGCCCAAGGCGCCGACGGACCCGGGCACCGGGGGCTGGGGGGGGGGGGGGGGTTGGGCGGGGGAGTGGGTGGTGAGGGGGGGTTGGTGGGGTGTGGGGAGGTGGACTGGCAGGAACTCTGCGGCAGCTATATGGGGATACGGGGAGGGAGTTCAAAAAGGTGGCCGAAAAATGGGTTGGGCCTTGTCTCACAACACGCTTTTCACGTCAGGGGAAAAAAGTGAAAGCCCCAAAATCTAGTTTGAGGGGTTCCAAAGCGCTATTTTGACACATCTGAAAATGTGGCATTGCCAGACCGAAGTCTGGCCCCTTTTTTGTGGCGCTTTTGCTTTTTTGGGATTCCTTCATTGTGCCTCTCAGCCAGCAAGCAGTTGACTTCATTTGCATGAAGAGATGATAGCATTTTTTTTGCTTTTATGTGGGACAGGGGCGGGGGACAATTACCTCAGTGGTTGAACGAGAGGTACATGAGCCTTTCGGAGTACTTTGGTCTGGGAGGTAGCCAAATGGTGACTAGTAGCCCCAATGTGCTACAGGGAAGTTCCTGCGGTTGTGGCTAGGGGTTAATTGGGGTAGCCACTTTGCTAAACGTTTCCAGGTTGGTTGAAATGGGGAACTACAACACAAACAACTTGCTTTTTTGCGGGGGAGTCCCGTTCCTCTGTCGACATACACTTTGGGAGCTGCCCCCCCCCCATAAAATTCGCGGATTCCCATGGGTTTGCCTCCAGGGCAGCCACGAGGCTTACTGCCCGGGCCTTGTCCGGTCCCCCCTCCAGCCCTCGTCCGGCGTTGGGTCCGCCAGGGGTGCTGAGACCAGAGCCCCGGCCCTTGGACTTCGAGACCGTGCCCCTGGCGGACCACGCGCCGCGGACGTCGGAGGGAAGGAAGCGAGTCGCACGCACGTCTTCTGTTTCTTTAGGGGGGGTGGTTATGTAGTACATACTGTAGCCGATAAAACAGGAGCCAAGGAGCCGGTATCCAAATTTCCCTTTCAAGAAGGAACTAAGGAGATACCAGGAGTTCTGAAAGCAACTGGTAGTGTGGGTGTCTCTTTTCTTGAGGGAATTCGTTTGGGGGTGATGGACACCATTTTGTTGAATTGATTCTCATACGCAACCTTCTTAAAATGATGAAGCCGTGCCAGTTGGATTGATTGTCCATTCACAGCCTGACTTTGATTTTCAATAGGGAACCTCTTCAATGGTGCTTAGTGGACATCAATGCCCATGAAATGATGTCCGCAAAAGGGTTTGAATTCAAGTATGATGCAGACCACGCCATCCCCACAAGGGGCACCCTCAAAAAACGACACACCCAGACATGCCACGCTCAACAGGCCTTGTTACTTGAGGTTGCCAGGGGCACAGGCCTCATGGGTACCTGGCTCATACGGCCATACGGGTTGTCTCTCAGTGGGATATGGAACCCCAGAATGGGTGGTTCCATATCACTTGAAGGGGCGCTTCCAACCGGCTAGTCTAGCAACCCACTGTATAACGCGACATGTTGGTGTATCGTCCTTTGAGGTGGTACCCATTTTGGGGTTGGGGTTTGCCAGTTGGACATATGCGGAAGGCCGTTGCTGGACCCTTTTTGACGGAAGCCATGTGCCATATTCTGGGTATGTTTTCCTTCAAGATGAATGAGGCCCTTTCCCCCCAAGCAAACAACACGCACACCCACACACACACACACAGCATCCCAAAATTATTCTGCACCCTTTTTTGATAGTGCCCTTAATGGCTTGGCGTAAAAATGAAACCAACCGGAACCTGCAAGCCGATCATTCTTGAGTGGGTTCCCCTCTTTAGAAACATCCCCCCCGTCATTTTGTACAATGGGGACCCTTGAAAATGGTTGGCTTCGTGTTGATGTCCTTTTCTCCCCTGCAAATTGACAAACCCCAAAGGGGGGGTCCTCCATTCAATAAGGAGGCTCCTCCCAAAAAGCTATTTTGTTTGAGGGTCTCATATTCATCTGCACAAAACTGCACAAATCAATGCTCCAAATGGGGCCGGGGGTTCCTTCGGCCGAGGAGAAGCAGATTGTCGAGCTGCATTTGCTCACGGAGGATGAGCTGGTGGACAAGACCCCCCGGCTCGCTTCGATCGGTGGATTGATCCTTTGGGCTGCCGTAGAGGATCTTTCAAACAATTCAGGTCTGTTTTTGGGGTTCCATGTCAACCTGTAGGTGGCAGGGGAGCTACTATCCTTGAGTTTAAAGTTTATTGGTTTAAGGCTAAGTTTGTACCTGTTTTTCAGGGGATCTTTCCCTTTTCTCTTTCTGGCTGGTGGCTTCTCGATGGTCCAGCACAAATGGGTAACCTTCAACCTTTCCCAGATCCCAGTTACTGCTGTAGGTATCCAACAATTGTTTACATAGTGTTCAAAGGGTTCCTAGGTCAAGTCGAATCACAGTGTTTCACTTTTCGGGGAAAGGTGTGTGTGTGTGTCATGTTGCAAAACCGCGGTTTAGTGAAACTTTTTTCCCCAGTTCTTTAGTGTCGTTCCCATGTTCTGGGAATGTTAGCAAGCTCATTTGGGAGGTAAAACCAGAACACCCGTGATAATGGCCGTTCCGGGCTGCCTACTGTGCAACATGGAAGCTGACATGAGGACTGGTTTCGCTTTGGACCGGGTTCCTGTGCACTTCCATGTTTTTTGGTGGAGGGTCACTTTGTCGGAAAGTACTTTTTCAGGGGTCCTTCTAGGTGCCCTTTAAAAGCAGTTCAAACAGTTTCCACTGCTTGAAGACCACCTTTTAGGCCAACTTGGGAGGTGTTTGCTTTAGTGTATATAGAAGGACCGAACGCCGTTTTCCCATTTAGCAGCAGCGCAGTTGCTTTTCTGCAGGGGATCAAAGTTCAACCCAGAAAACATGTTGAAGCTGGTGTGTGTTTTCATTCTTTAAACCTGGTATTTGGACCCTGTCCACGCTCAGTAACAGTCTTTGCGGTTTGCAGACCCCTCAGGTGGTTGATCTAACTTCCCATCATCCACTGTGAGTGGGTGAGGGCGGGTTTCGACCTTCCATGAATCTTTCCCTACAATATAACTAGCTTCAACGTTTTGGTGTGACCTCCAACTCTGCACATCTTCCGGAAAATGAGAAATCCATCCCTTCCCAAACTTCACCCTTGAGAGAAAATTTAGTCCGACGACGTTTTGCGGCCCAATTGAACCCGAAAGGATCCTGGAGAACGGCCACGATGCGCCCTACGACGCCAGCAAGCCCCTTGGCCTCGGCAGCCGTAGCAAAAAACCAACAAATCGAAACGTTGAAACATGTGTGTCTTAGGGCATAACTTGTCTTGTGCTTTCTTGAAGGGAAGTCCAACGCGAGAACTCGCAACTATTGGGGTCCCCCTAAAGAAAATGGGCTGTTTCCCATTCGTTGGCCCTTAAAGCAGCCAAAAGCGGGTAGCCTTGGAAATGGACAGGGGCTTACATCGCTTGCTGCAGTTCGAGAGGTGGCGGCCAAAGGAAAGCAACCATCAGGAGGTAAACACCCGAGTTGCGCTGTCATGGCGCGTGAACCACTTTGACTCGGTTACAGAGTGTTTTTATCCGGAGGTAGTTATCCCTCTGAAATCGAGCTGCATGGCAAACAGACTGACATAGTGTTTGAAATCCCTACTCGGCCAGGATCCACTGCCAGGCAGATAGGCTGAGTGAAAAAAGCGTCTCTCGGAACCCCCCATGAAAGAGGGCCAATGGCCATACCTGTGTTCGCGCACCCTTCGTTGGGGCTAACAACAAGACTGAGTGTTCTATTGCAAGCGTGGATGTTTGTAGGAAGAGAAGGACGGCCTACCCAAGTTTCCCCAAGGGCCGCCCAAGTTGCAACAAATGAGCTCAGGTGATGTCCCCAACAGCATTCGGTAGTGCTCGCAACACCCCGCAGCCCTCGCAGAACCTCGTGGAACCCTGCTGGAACTCGGTGGAGCCCTCGTGGAACCCTCGTTGAACCTTACCTCAGGGCCGCCGCGGACCACCCCGGAGCCTATCTGGGCTGAGACCCCAAAGCTTTCAGCTGTTGGGGAACAAAAACACTCAGCGACCCACGACCGAGGCACTACCTAGTGGCCCTGTGCCGCAAGGCGCTGAAAGACCCTAGGGCGCCCAAGCCGAAGAGGGAAAGGAAGGTGGTGGAGGAGAGGTTCCACTCGGACCAACGTGGCTTCGGTTTTGGTGTATCCTACAGGGTACCATCGAAGGCTGGCTTCCCTTAAAGTTTGCTTTGAAGCCGACCCTGAAAAAGGGGATAGCATCATAAGAAGACTTACCTACTTCCACTTGCTTGAGAAGATGTTTCTGTTTTCCTGTCGATGTCAAGCAGAAGTTGTGATGAGACAAATAGGCCAACCTCGTGAAATCCTGACAGTTTGACCCGAAGTGAACCATCCACTTGTCTAGGGTCTGCTCCAAAAACACTTTTATGTTTTTTGGGTTGACAAAAAAAGGACAAGCATCGTGTGAGCAGATTTTTCTGCGTACCGAGTGCAAGGTTCCTCCTTCTCCCAGGCTTCGGTTCATCTGGGCGTGTCGCGTGGGAGTACCCTTCTTGGGCGTATTGCGTGGGACACCAAAAGGAAGCTTCCACCATTTTGGGGGAGTCTCCTGATCTTGTTGGGGCAGTGAACGCCTCTCTTTCAGACTTCGTTTTTCAGGAGACGGAGGGAGAGGCGATCACGCGAGCCAAGCGGCCCACCATTGGGGACCGCGTGCAGGTGCGGGACACGCAGATCATGAAGCTTGGTTTCTACTCGGGGGGGAGGGGGATCCGCCTCCAAATGCAGGAACCTTCTCAGTCTCAACCGCCCACAAGTCCATCTGTTCCTTCTCATTCCCTTCACTCGCCTGGCTCGCTTCGTCCATGATAAACAGATGAAAGGGAGAGATGCGTCCAGGAGTAGCCGTCACAGGGTGTCTGAAGGAATGATTCTTGATCTGCATTGCCTAGTATCACTGCCTCGCTTCTTGCCGTGGAGTGCGAGGATGGGAAATGGCAAGTGAACGGTTAGACCAAGAGCTGGGACAGTTATACAGTCTTAGAATTTGGACCAGCTCTAATCATTCCCATTCTCTTTGTCCTTACCTTTGTTTCGCCAAGATTTCAATTTTTTACTGATGGGCGAGGCCAGAGACTTGGAATGAAGAATCCAATGACATGCAATGAAAAATCCAGGAGCTTCTATCACCCTCTTCACCGACCCATCATTTGGTTCCCAGGGAAGCGAGGAAGCGAGAAGTGGGGAAGAGGACCGCTTCATTCATCTACCTGCGTGATGCTGTCTACACCCATTCCTTCGCACCCAACAATCATTCCAGTCTGGATTATTTCTCCTGATATCTATATCTCTGTCTAATCTGTTTTTCCTTTCCAATCCAATCATCCAACAAGTAGATGATAGCTGATTGGAAAGGTAATAATAAAGATCAACCAAGAGTCATTCCTTAAGACTCGCAGTTACAAGCGGTCAAATCCCCAGCTGCAAACAACCACCCATTGCCTGCCAACCCTCCCTTCCATCTCCCACCTCTAACCGTTCCAAGCCCCAAGCTGTTACACGGCTGTAGCGGGTGAACCTGATGTAGGAACCAGTGGACAGAGAAGTGTGTGAGAGACACAGAGAAGACAGAGAATGAAAGAGAAGTAATATAGGAATATGAAGTCTTATTAGTCCTGCATTCTCTTCGTATCATTGTAATAAAATGTCTCTATTGCAATTATTATCTCAATGTATTTATTGGCTTTTAACGCTACGCAAAGAACAACCCCATCCTTTCCAGATTATTTCCTTCCAGGAATTACTTACCTGTCATGCATTGGGTCAGGAATACCTTTCCTATGTTTGTCCTGCTCCTGGTTTCCTTCTTCCCTGTTTACCACCGCCTTCTACCTCCATCAAATTCCAGACCTTTGTGTAACCAGCGGCGGGCTTCCTCGTCTATCACTTCTATATCCTACCAGCATGAACCGCCAAGAGAAGGATTATGCTATGAGCCGCTGCATGACCTGTTGTCCCAACTACACTTTTGGAGCCCTCACCAAACAAAGAAGAAGTGAATATTGGAGAGAATACAGAATCGATTTACAATGTGACTTCTCATTGAAAATTATTTTTATTTAGTGTTCTTCATAAATCCATTCTTAATCCTTTCAATATCTCTTTTACTTGAGGATTATTTCACTTTCTGTATCTCTTCTTGCAATTTCTTGCTTATTTGGATTTCTGGCTTTCTACGTCTTACATCTTTCCTAGTCCGCGCGCGTCACCTATCAATGAAGGATGAAGTCTTGGTTACCCATCAATTAACTTCTGGATATCCTTCTCTCTGTCATTCCTATGTCTCTCCAAGAATAGTAGACGCTAAAAGCATTCTGCAGCTTCAGGAAGTAGTGAATTCTCAGCACCAACAATCTTTTCTCCGTTGAATATTATTCCAGAGAAGATAGCAATTGTAGCTCCTGAAAAAAGAACTTTATTAACATGTGCTACAACATAGTATGTATCATTGTCGGAACGTGGAACATATGAAAGAATACTGCGGTGCGATTGGAAGCACCCCTTGGCCTAGATTTTTGTGAAACGTATAGGGGTGTCTTGAGGGTGCGTATGCTAGCTTTGCAGCCAGCAAAGGCCTGTCTATTTTGGAGGAAAGGACTATGCTCGGTTTGTAAGCAAGGTGCCCTTTGCCCTTACCTGCGTTGCAAGACACGTTTTTGCCAAGCTGTGTCACTTGGGCCAACGTGTCACCCATTGTCAAAGGCAATCGTGTAAACTGACTCACTCATAATAGCTCCCCACTGCAGCAAACCAGATGGACAACCAGCCACATAATTCTTTTCTGGGTGGATTTCCTTTGCACCGTTTAATCCAATGCTGATAAATTTCGAGTCTGAGAGTATGATATTGGGTTTGTCTAAAAATTGGAGACGTTTGCCGGGCTTCCGCTTGGTTTCCCTTCACCCCCAGCCCCAATGGGGTATCCTACAAACAAACACGCCCAATAGTTGCCGTGTGTTGAGGAAGAGATACCTCCCCGAAGCCATCGGGAAAGTCTTCCGCATCATCAAGGATGACGGCGGGGCCTTCCCCTACCGCCTGGGCGGCATCGGGGAACAAAGGCACTGGTTCAGCGAGGAAGACATCTGCTGGCCCACCAAGGCGTGGCCTGAAAAGCCGAGCCTGGCTGCCGGTAAAAAGACTAGGTCCCCCAGTAGTGCGCTTTTACCCTTTTTCGGGGGAGGGTTCCCCTACAAAAGGGTACCCTTATTCTAACCTCTCTACTGGAGGACCTAGAAGAGTTTAGTTGTTCTTTTGCCATCAACCTGGTTGTTTTGTTGAACATGCTCGTTCCCGCCCTGACTAGCGAAACGGATGCACGTTTGCAGGGGATTGGGAGCTAAACACCCATTCCCATCCCCTAATCAATGCACAGGGAGGGGAAGCTGTATTCATTCATGATGGGGTCCCGTTATACACCTCCCCCTGGTTTCACTTAACAGGTAAAACAACACACCACCACAAAAGCGGCCCTGAATTCCAGCTGCGGTGAGAATTTACTGGCATTTGGATGCTCACTAGCCAATTTGTTTCAATTACCCAAGAGGACACCAAACGGATGAATGAATTGCATGTTTTCCAGAGCTTCCCAATTGTGCATCCAGGCGACCAAGCCCACCTTTGTCGCCAAGGGAAGCCAGAAGGAGAAGGCCAAGCCTGACGACCAGCCGGACAAGGCGCAATTGTGTGTGCAATTCGGTAAAGAGTAGACATGAAGAGGTTGTCCGGGACTTTTGACAGTTTACTCTTTGAGGTTCTCGAACAACATGCACCAGAATCAAGCAACTTATGCGAGGTAGTTGGGTATTTGGGCTACACCCGGCCAATGGTACCATGTTAGGAGGAACCTAGTTGCTGTTGACCGTAATCCCAGGCTGAAACTCTTTCTTACCGGTTATGAGTTGCCCGATTTCGTTTGAAAGATTCTACCAGTAGAGCCGGCAGATCTGGTGGGCGGAAGTTGCTATCCAATAAGGTGCCTATAGGTTATGAATTGTTTTCTCTGAGCCTCGTCTCTTCTATTTCTGTTTGTGTGCCCTTCTTTTTTTTATGTCATGTTTTCTTTCGTTCTTTCTTTTTCCGTTTCTTTCTTTAATTCTTTCTGTCTTTCTTTCTTTCATTCTGTCGTTCTTTCTTTCTTTCTTTCTTTCTTTCCGCTACCATACGAAGAGTAGAGATGTTTATGTCATGTTGTCTTTCTTTCTTCATCCGTTTCCTTCTTTCTTGTTTTTCGATCTTTCTTTCTTTCTTTCTTTCTTTCTTTCTTTCTCCGTTTCTTTCTTTGTTGTTTCTTTCTTGTTCCGTCTCTATCTTTTCTCTCTCGCGCTGTTTCCACTTGATCTATCTATCTACTTAGCTATCTATTTGTCTGTCTAGCATCTATCTATCATATCTATCTATCTATCTAATCTAATCTAATCTAATCTAATCTAATCTAATCTAATCTAATCTAATCTATCTGTCTGTCTGTCTATCTATCTATCTATCTATCTATGTACGTATGTAATGTATGTATGTATGTATGTATGTATGTATGTATGTATGTTATGTAATGTATGTATGTATGTATGTATGTATGTATGTATGTATGTATGTATGTATGTATGTATGTATGTATGTATGTATGTATGTATGTATGTATGTATGTATGTATGTATGTATGTATGTATGTATGTATGTATGTATGTATGTATGTATGTATGTATGTATGTATGTATGTATGTATGTATGTATGTATGTATGTATGTATGTATGTATGTATGTGTATGTATGTATGTATGTATGTATGTATGTATGTATGTATGTATGTATGTATGTATGTATGTATGTATGTATGTATGTATGTATGTATGTATGTATGTATGTATGTATGTATGTATGTATGTATGTATGTATGTATGTATGTATGTATGTATGTATGTATGTATGTATGTATGTATGTATGTATGTATGTATGTATGTATGTATGTATGTATGTATGTATGTATGTATGTATGTATGTATGTATGTATGTATGTATGTATGTATGTATGTATGTATGTATGTATGTATGTATGTATGTATGTATGTATGTATGTATGTATGTATGTATGTATGTATGTATGTATGTATGTATGTATGTATGTATGTATGTATGTATGTATGTATGTATGTATGTATGTATGTATGTATGTATGTATGTATGTATGTATGTATGTATGTATGTATGTATGTATGTATGTATGTATGTATGTATGTATGTATGTATGTATGTATGTATGTATGTATGTATGTATGTATGTATGTATGTATGTATGTATGTATGTATGTATGTATGTATGTATGTATGTATGTATGTATGTATGTATGTATGTATGTATGTATGTATGTATGTATGTATGTATGTATGTATGTATGTATGTATGTATGTATGTATGTATGTATGTATGTATGTATGTATGTATGTATGTATGTATGTATGTATGTATGTATGTATGTATGTATGTATGTATGTATGTATGTATGTATGTATGTATGTATGTATGTATGTATGTATGTATGTATGTATGTATGTATGTATGTATGTATGTATGTATGTATGTATGTATGTATGTATGTATGTATGTATGTATGTATGTATGTATGTATGTATGTATGTATGTATGTATGTATGTATGTATGTATGTATGTATGTATGTATGTATGTATGTATGTATGTATGTATGTATGTATGTATGTATGTATGTATGTATGTATGTATGTATGTATGTATGTATGTATGTATGTATGTATGTATGTATGTATGTATGTATGTATGTATGTATGTATGTATGTATGTATGTATGTATGTATGTATGTATGTATGTATGTATGTATGTATGTATGTATGTATGTATGTATGTATGTATGTATGTATGTATGTATGTATGTATGTATGTATGTATGTATGTATGTATGTATGTATGTATGTATGTATGTATGTATGTATGTATGTATGTATGTATGTATGTATGTATGTATGTATGTATGTATGTATGTATGTATGTATGTATGTATGTATGTATGTATGTATGTATGTATGTATGTATGTATGTATGTATGTATGTATGTATGTATGTATGTATGTATGTATGTATGTATGTATGTATGTATGTATGTATGTATGTATGTATGTATGTATGTATGTATGTATGTATGTATGTATGTATGTATGTATGTATGTATGTAATGTATGTATGTATGTATGTATGTATGTATGTATGTATGTATGTATGTATGTATGTATGTATGTATGTATGTATGTATGTATGTATGTATGTATGTATGTATGTATGTATGTATGTATGTATGTATGTATGTATGTATGTATGTATGTATGTATGTATGTATGTATGTATGTATGTATGTATGTATGTATGTATGTATGTATGTATGTATGTATGTATGTATGTATGTATGTATGTATGTATGTATGTATGTATGTATGTATGTATGTATGTATGTATGTATGTATGTATGTATGTATGTATGTATGTATGTATGTATGTATGTATGTATGTATGTATGTATGTATGTATGTATGTATGTATGTATGTATGTATGTATGTATGTATGTATGTATGTATGTATGTATGTATGTATGTATGTATGTATGTATGTATGTATGTATGTATGTATGTATGTATGTATGTATGTATGTATGTATGTATGTATGTATGTATGTATGTATGTATGTATGTATGTATGTATGTATCTATCAATGTATCACCTGACCTTGCGAAAGTGCTGCGCCTGCCACGGAATCTGTTCTTCACCTTGCGAAAGAGTTGCGCCTGCCACGAAATCTGCACTTGGCCTTGCATGGGAACAAAATGCAACGCCTGTCACGAAATCTGCCCCTCAAGTTGCCAAAGTGCTGCGCCTGCCACGCGATTTGCACCTCTGAAACAGTCTGCGCGGCCATGCCATGTTCTTTTGACTGAAGTTGAAAGTGAGCACTAGCTCTCAAGTGGCACTTTGGTTGAGCTGGATCAGATCCATTTTGAGTTTCAAAGTCCTCGGATGACTATCGTTTTGCGGGGGTTAATCAGCCCAGTTAGTAAGCTCCTTAAGGGGCTTTGTGCATGGTAGATCCCACTTAGTTGCCTCACCACGTTTTGAACCACTACAGAGACCCCGCAAGCCACCCCCCCAAAGGCCCTTTCTCACCAACTGGGAATCGGGTCTCACATCGGCACAAGCGTGGAAGTTTGGGCCTTCATCAAAAAACACAAGAATAAAAGAAACAAATCGATTGACTAGTCTTTTGTGTTGGTCATCTTCAAAGGCGAGCAACGAAAACCGACCGGACGCCACAAGAACTTCAGTTACCTCAGGGACCACAACCCCCCAAAACCCAAGACCCATCCGCCTATGTGATGGGAACTGTCAGGAAGTCTAAAGCGAACCCTGGAATTGGCAGGTACTTGCGTGACTTTCCTAAAGGCTCTTTCTTATGCAGGGTACCTGGCAGTCTAACGAGGGTCATATGAGAAGCTTGTGTTTTGGGGGGAGGGAAGTACCTACCTGGGGTACACTTGACCTTTTGCTTCAGGGACCCCGAAATGAGACAGCGACCACGCAACCCAAAAGGTTTGCGCTTCCTTATTGATTATCTGAACAAGTAAGACAAACCACCTTTTGCAAGGACCCTCGCCCCCAAACGGTTTGTGCATCATAAGCTTGAAATCTGGCAAGGTCTTTGGAACGCAGCTGGATCTCGGCCAGGTTTTGATCAACCACAACCGCTACGGCTGCACCCAGGGGGAGGTGCGAGAGGTCCTGGGGGAGACCGGAGACAAGCGGAACTGGGTGCTGAAGGCGCGCACATTGGGGTTCATGGCCGAGCCCTTCGGTGCCGGCCGTTCCCCTTGTGGGTTGCCCCGTGTTGGGTTTGAAGGCGAAGCAAGAAGGAAACAGCCCACTTTGGGGTTCCCCTATTTTGAGAAACGCCCTTGTTTGCTCCAGTGGGTGCAAATGGCCAAATCATTGCAACACGTCCGGTCTCACAGAACGGATCACACCAGAAGCCGACAGCGCGTTTGTTTAGAAGGACATCGGCAGGAAACCCTGCCCCTACCAGTTTGTTAGGCAGGGACTTCTTGCTCATGTCATACAGGTTCTGAGCAATTGCACCAAGGGACAATCATGTGCATCCACCCACACCTTAGAAGCCATGTACAGCAAGCCATCCCTCACTTCCTGCATTCGCGCCCAGGGAGGCCGTCAAGTGCCCAAGGCGCATGAGGGCAGCGGCTGGTCCCGGGTCTCCGACCGCCTCACCAACGGCCCGCCCCCGCCCGGGCCGCCCCCGCCCGGGCCGCCGGTGGTGGTAACTTCTGGGCCGAGCGAGGCGGAGATCTTTGCAGAGATGGAGGAGGGCGCACGGGTATCAATTTTGATAACAAGACCCGAGTGGCTTATTTGAAGGAAACTTAACCTGTGGCATAGGTAGGGGGTTGGATCGTATGGATATAGCTCGTGTTGGAATCTCATGTCTAAGATGAATTCCAGCACCCCCGAACCAGTTGCAGGGGAAACCAGGGGACATACACGTGCCAACTGTCAAATGGCACGGGCTGTTTGGGGCCCTTGGAAGCTGCTTCCTTTTTCCCCATGAGACACCGCGGCTTTTGGGCCAAGCCAAAGTGAGTTTGCGTTGTGTGGGGTGATGCGGCCCGAATGAGTTGCTCTCAGAGCCATTCTTGCGGGGAGGAAGGACCCTAGGTTTTCCAGGAGCCTTTTCAGGAGCTCGCAAAGCAGCTGGAAGCTCAGGAAGCAGAACAGGCCGGGATGGGGGGACCTGTGGATTCCTCCCTTTTCTCGTTTTTCTTGGGTGGTGTTAGGCCCCTTAAAGTGGGCCCGCACTTTGAGGGGTGCTCACTTTTTTTTGTTTGGGGGGGGGGTGTTCAATTTAAACCGCCACGTAGAGGGTCACTTGAAAGGGAACCCAAATGGAGTCATTGTGCGACACTCCAGCAACAATGTGATCATGTGTGAGAATATGTGTCACCCGTCGTTTTTTGCCGGGAAGACTCGGCTGGGATGTCCCATCGAGCAAACGAAATCCATATGCCCAATGGAGAAGCTAATTTCAGCCCTGTGCTCTTGCAAGATTGGCCAGCGCTTTCTTGAGCAGCAGTTTTCAGAAGCATCACCTTTTGGGGACAATGTTCGAGTTTCATTTTGGAAGGGTCATTGGTCAAACCTTTCCAGTTTTCACCGCCAGACCCCAGCTATCTCCGCATAGGTCGCCGCAGCTGCGCCGGCGGCGCCGGCCCCGGCGCCTGCAACTGAAAGCGGCGCTCCCCCGGCCGCGGGCCCGGCCTCGCCGGCCGAAGCGAAGGCCGGGAAAGACTCGCGCGGAAGATCCACGGCCACATTGGGTGCTCCATGGTTTTGTGAGACTGTTTTGCCTCGAAAGTCCGAACTTCAAAGTCTCTCGGGCGATGTCTTCTGTTTTTCTTGCATTCCAGGAATGTGATGTCTTCCCTGCGCAACCAATTCCACTTTGTATATTTTGGGCACTGCTTCGTCCTCTAGTTTAGCGCCTTGTTCGAAATATGGCAAACATTGCTCCGCCGCGAGTGAGTCCGCCCCCGGCGATTTCCAGCTGCACCCAGGCGGCTTCCGCGGCCCCGGGCGCCGACGCCGCGGGCGCGGAGGCGCGGCGCCGGCGGAAGGCGGCGGCCGAGGCCAAGGCGAAAGCGGAGGCGGAGGCGACGGACAGCGCGGGGACCGTTGGCTTTGGGTTGGGATTGGAACCAGCTGAAAAAGAATGCGTTTTGCTGGGCATGAATGCCCATCAAAATAATTATCCACCAACAATAACCTGCTCGAACAACACCTCCTGAAAAATTAGGATCCCTCTTCTCTAGTTTCGTCTCTCCGATCATAAACAATCACCCACTTCTGGAAAGCCATTTGAGCTTAGTTTGAAGTTTAAAGTCCGTTGTCCAATCTTAGTAGATCCTATTCAAGCTCTGCCAGCGTTGCAGCTGGGAAGGCGGAGGTCCTCAAGGACACCACCAGTTTGCGGGTATCACCCATGTATGATCAAACGCTGCGCAGGCACTTTCCGGCCAAAGTGGTGCGCCCGCTGCGGGTGCCAAGCCAGGAGAGGAGAAGGCGCGCCTTTGGTGCAGGATGTGACCCTTGAGGGTCCTTTGTCCATGACTCTCTAGGGCAAAGGAAATTGGGAGTCCATTTTTCGTCATGAGTCATGGCCCCAAAAGGACCCTTTCCGATTTTTCAGGAAAAACAGAAGATTCCCCAAAACGACCTCAGTTGTTTGCCGACAGAGGACCCGGAGGCCGCGGCAAAGGCCGCCGCCGCGGGCGCGGAGGCGCGGAGGAAGCGGAAGGCAGCCGCGGAGGCCAAGGCGAAAGCGCAGGCGGGGCGGGGCCAGCGCTTCAAAGGGGGAGGATGATAATTACAGACATACGTCATAAATGCGGACATACAGACAGACAGATACAAACATACACGCTTGGGGACGTACAGACATACAACCATACAGATATACAGAGAGACAAAACAGAGAGAGAGAGAGAGACAGACAGACAGACGGACAGACGGACAGACAGAGAGACAGAGAGACAGAGAGACAGAGAGACAGAGAGACAGAGAGACAGAGAGACAGAGAGACAGAGAGACAGAGAGACAGAGAGACAGAGAGACAGAGAGACAGAGAGACAGAGAGACAGAGAGACAGAGAGACAGAGAGACAGAGAGACAGAGAGACAGAGAGACAGAGAGACAGAGAGACAGAGAGACAGAGAGACAGAGAGACAGAGAGACAGAGAGACAGAGAGACAGAGAGACAGACAGACAGACAGACAGACAGACAGACAGGCAGGCAGGCAGGCAGGCATGCATGCATACACTACATTACAATACAGTACAGTACATTACATCACATCACATCACATCACATACATTACACTACATGCATACATACATACATACATACATACATACATACATACATACATACATACATACATACACACATACATACATACATACATACATACTTACTTACATACATACATACATACATACATACATACATACATACATACATACATACATACATCACACACACACATACATACATAGATACATACATAGATACATACATAGATACGTTCATACATACATACATACATAGATACATACATACTTACATACTTACATACTTACATACATACATACATACATACATACATACTTACACACTTACATACTTACATACATACTTACATACTTACATACTTACATACTTACATACTTACATACTTACATACCTACCTACTTACCTACCTACCTACATACATACATACATTCATACATACATACATACATACATACATGCACATACATATACCCCCACACACACACATACACGTACACATACACATACACACACATACACGTACACATACACATACACACACACACATCACATCACATCGCAATACATCACATGACATGCCAATACAATACAACATCCATACATGCATACATCCATACATCCATACATCCAACCATCCATACATCCATCCATCCATCCATCCATCCATCCATCCATGCATACATTCATACATCCATAAACTATACATCCATACATCCATGCATCCATGCATCCATACATCCATCCATACATGCATACATCCATGCATCCATACATCCATACGTCCATACATCCATACATCCATACATCCATACATCCATACATCCATACACCCATACACCCATATATCCATGCATGCATGCATCCATACATCCATCCATCCATACATGCATACATCCATGCATCCTTACATCCATCCATATATGCATCCATGCATCCAGCATCCATGCATGCATGCATCCATGCATCCATGCATCTATGCATCCATGCATCCATATATCGATACATCCATACATCCATACACCCACATATTCATACATCCATATATCCATACATCCATACATCCAATACATCCACATATTCATACATCCATACATCCATACATCCTTACATCCATACATCCAACACATCCATACATCCATTGATCCATCCATACATCCATACATCCATCCATCCATTCATCCATCCATCCATCCATCCATCCATCCATCCATGCACGCACGCATGCATGCATGCACGCATACATAGATACATACACACATACGTACATGCATGCATGCTGCATGCATACATACATGCGTATGTTCGTACATACGCTTTGCATGCATGCATACATACAGACACACGTACAGACACACATACAGACACACATGCAAACTAACTAGAGGAATACATACATACGTACGCACATACATAAATACATACATAGATACATACATAGATACATACATGCATACATACATACATACAGACATATGTATGTATACATACACACAGAAAGGCAGGCAGGCAGGCAAGCAGGCAGGCAGGAGGGAGGCAGACACATACATACGGACAGACAGACAGAAAGACAGACAGACAGACCAACAGACAGAAATTCGTATACACGTACACACACACACACATACATTGCATGCACGCATCCAAGAATGCATACATACAGACGGACGGACAGACAGACCAAAGGCACATATATACATATACATGCTTGCATGAGCAGATGGCAGGGTCTCGAAGTCGCGCCCGGCTGGCAAGCGTTCCACTCCATGTGTGGGATGAAGGATAGATGCCCCCCCCCCCCAACCCTCCCCCAACACAACACACACACACACACTTACACGCATACACACACGCACACATGCGGGGGACCAGTCCTGGTGGGAGAAGGTCTTTCCTTCCAAACCGGCCGTGTTGAAACAAACCTCTTTGCTTCCGAAGCGCCGCAGGCAGAAGCCGCGGAGCGGCGCAAGGCGCGGCGCCGGGAGGCGGAGGTGGAGGCCGAGGTGGATGCGGAGGTGGAGGAGGTGGCCATCGCTCTCGACTGAGCGAAAAGCGGGCGCGAAGTTGGTGCGAGAGCGTCCATAGGTCCAGCTCATTTGGCGGGGTGTGTGTGTGGGAGGGGGGGGGGGGCGTTTTTGCTGAGAATTTGCTTTTGAGGGGTTCCAGCAATAAAGACAATCCGATTTCCATAGGAGGGTGGGAAACATCACCTTTGTGGTCCATGGTTGGAAATATGGGGAGCCCTGAACAGCGATGTTCTCAGAATGACCCGCGCGAAATAGTGGCTTGTGGGGAAACCTCGAACCGACCTCCAAGAAACAAGATTGAGAACCCCTCAAATGCGAGGGAGTGGAGTTGATTCAACTGCCCAGCTTGTGAAGAGTTTCTGGAAGTTCAAACAGGGGCCAAATGATATGGGCTTATTTCGAAGTGGGAAGCTCCCTCCAAAAAGGGTGGTTTCCATTTTCTTTCCTTTCCAGGAGGAGAACGTAAGTGCAGGAGGTTCTTTTGAGTAGACTCCTTGAATACCAGATTTGTTCATGACTCAGGATAGTTTATGGCAAGGGTCAAAGGCTGAAACTCGCGTCAGTGGCTTTCAGGCGCCGGGCCTGCCTTTCATTTTGGCTCGCCACCCGAGTGAGCTTGCAAACCGCCAACTCGTTTGGGTACGGAAGTCTGCGGTTCTACTCACTGGTTTCACGGGGATGGGCCTGGTTGAAGTGTAAACCATCTCTTCAGTTTTGAGACGCTGAAGAAGTCACATGTGGCAGGATGCGAAATCGGATGCTTCAGCCAACTGACCGAGCCCTTTTGGCCTTACTGACCCAAACCTGCAATTCTCCCCCTCAGCAGGGCTTCGTTTCCCTTTGAGATCTCAATTCGGGTCCCTCAGATTGTCAAGAAAGGCCCAGAGAAGGCTATTTGTGGAGGTCCCTAAGTTCAAGTAGGCTCAACGTTTTGGCAGCTTCTAGGGGGTATCAGAGTCAGAGGTGGGGGTCATTTCCAGGTCATTTCCCATAGACCTCTCCCCTGTCCGAGGTTCACAATGACAAGCCAAACGCCAGTTAGAGGGGGTTGGCCCAACTCTGGCAAAGAAACTGTTCGAACAGAGTTCAGGGGGCTATTCCCTCAAACCTACCAGTTAAGTAAACCTTGTTGTTCTTCCCCCCCGTCGGGCTCTCCACTTCGGCTGGCCATGTGCCATGGTGTTTAAAGTGGTTAGCGGCGGGCAGAGCGGCGTGGACCAGGCAGCGCTGGAGGCGGCATGGAGCCTGGGCTTGGTGACAGGACGGGTCTCCATGGACAGGGCAGGCGCTTCCCACAGGTTTTTGCTCCGGGGCGGGTGGTTTTTTTTTGAGCGTACCCTTTCAGGTTGGTTTAAAGGGAAACCAAAAAGACCCCCCCCATTTTGGGGTTATCCTTATTTTGACACATAGCCTTTGACACATAGCCGTGTGTTGAGTCGACCCCTCCAACTTGTTGAGGAAGTCACTTCAATGGACGCACTTTCTTGTTTTTGGCGACATATGTCTGACTTCACCCCATGTGCCAGGAGGTTGGTGCCCTGCGGGCTGTCTGGACGAGAACGGCCCCATCGCCCATGCGGATGCGTGGCACCTCCGTCCGTTGACGGCGGAGCTGTGGGCGGAGCATCGAGGAGAGCCTTCTCGGACCGCCCAAACAAGCTCCAGTAGCCTTTCCCAACTGCAACCTGGAGCCATGGAACCCTGAGTTGTCGTTGGGTAGCAAAGCTGGGTGAATATAATAAGAACCCTTTGGCCTGAACTTGTTTTTCCTTGCAAGGGGGTGTGCACTCTCGGCATCAAGTTCCTTTCTTGGGGCGTCCCTTAGTAATGGTTGGTGAAAACAGACCTTTTGGATTTGTGAACAAGGCCATAGTGTCTGTTTGAGTGTTGATCGATTTTTTGTGTCATGGCTTCGACTGATCAGCTGTCATGGGAATGAGACGGTGGGTCAAAAGATACAAAGCACTAAGCCGACCATTTGCAGTTTTGCGTGCTCAATGCCCCGAGAATCCGAGAAGATGGGCGTGGAGCCCCGACAGGGGTCGGTCCATATGCCCACCTTCTACCTCATAAACCAGGGGGACCAACGCAAACTTGTGTGTACTACATTATGTATGTATATGTCTATATATATATATATATGTATTTGTATGTATATCTTGCCGTTTCCCGGCCATGCTCTGAGGCCTGTTTGGCTTTTTAGCGTTTAGCGGGTTTTGTGTCATGCCCCTCTCTAACTTTAGCAAAGGTATAGAACTAAATACAGTCTGTATATGTTGGACATGACATGAGGGTCATGTACTGGGGCACCTTCCCTGCCCGGCCCCTTCCGCTCCCTTTCGCAGGAGCCTTCGAGCACCTGGGGCTCGAGCTCGCGGTGTGTGATGCGGACCCCTGGGCGCCGCGGACATTCATGAACGCCCTGCAGAGCTCAGGATGGTCGCGGAAAATCGGGCTTTAGAGTCGGGTGAAAGCGAATGCCGCAATGCGCAGATTTTAGTTTGGTCATTACACGAGGTGAAGTATGGCCAGGGCTTGTCCGCTTCAGACATGTGGGGCTTGGATCATGAGCTCGCCGATGGCTCAAACGAGCGAAACCCCACGATGAAGGTTCTTGCGTGTGGGCTTCCCTCATTTCGGCTGGTTGCCGGAAAATCGGGGCTTTAGGCTGTTTTCTCTAGACAATTCAAGGGAATCGCCTCAGTGACAAAGTATTTGCCAAATTGCTCGTGATCATATTAAAGCTCCCTTATTCATGGAGAACCAAAGCGCGATTTTCCTTGCGGGTTTCAATTGGGTTCCCTGGAACCGGGTTTATCTTGAACCTTTGCGGAGAGAATCCAGGGACCCCTGCAGGCACGCTGACCGTTTTGCCTGCAAGCGCCGCGGAGGATGGAACCGCTCTGGGCGTTAGGGCCGCGAACGCTTTGAAGAAGCCCATGCTGACTGTCACCTGCGATGGTGGCGATGGCGGTGATGGCGGGGTGTGCAGCATTTCACAGGCTGATTTGTTGTTTTTTTTCTTTTTGCGTTCACATATGAACCTACACGAATTTATTTTGGACCTGTTTGGGTCATAGGCCCTTTGATCTCGTAAACTAGGGGCTCATACCAGGGGTTCGTATTCTAGCATACGGGTTCATACACACAGCCTTTGAAAATTGAAGCAGCTCCATGTTTGGTGTCTCTGATATCAAGTTGCAATTTGAAGTGTTCCAAATGTGAACCCAAAGCAAAATATGAGTTTTGCTTGGGGGCACGGGCAGAGGTAGTGTGAATTAGACCGTTGGGAGACCCTGAAGGCATTCTAATAAACATAAAATTCAATTTTGCTTTGCATGAGCATCACACGTGCTGCCCAGAACCTGGTTTTCGGAACTGTTCGGCGTCACCCGAGTTTTGAAAGGAGGGCCATTTTTTAAAGGACTTCATTTGTTTAAGGTTTTTTTTTGTTTTTCAGGGCGGGTGGCTTTTCGTTTTTTTTTTTTGCTTTTGTGGCTTTTAAGTGGGTTTTTGTGGCTGTTGTGGCTTTTCATTTCGCATCCTCTGCATTCACAGTTCCTCTCTTTTCGCATCCTCTGCATTGCCAGTTCCGCTGCGGCAGGTGGCTTTTTGGCTTTGTGGCTTTTGGCGGCTTTCTGGCTTTGGCTTTTTGCATCCTCTGCTTTCCCAGTTGGCTTTTGGCTTGGCTTCCTGCATCCTCAGCATCGCAAGTTCCTCTCTGGTGCCCCCCACCACCCCCCTTCGATTTTTAAAATGCACACCGAATTGAATCATCACTTTTTCGATCATCATTCGGCAGCTACTTTTTAGATTCTTTGCCCCTAATTTTTCGATCCACTTTTTCAATCATGAAGGGGGGGGCTGCTGCCTAATTGAATCATCACTTTTTTGATCACCATGAGGGCTGCCGCACCCCTCCCCCCCCACCCAACCCCCGCGCTACTTTTTGGATTTTTGGCAGAGATTAAAATGCACCCCTAATTGAATCATCACTTTTTCAATCATCATGGAGCGGGCTGGCTTCCTGCATCCTCAGCATCGCCAGCTTCCTTGCCTAATTGAATCATCACTTTTTCGATCATCATGCGACAGCTACTTTTTACATTCTTTGCCCCTAATTTTTCGATGCACTTCTTCAATCATCATGGGGGGGCTGCCGCCCCCCCAACCCCCCCGTTTTTTTAAAGACTTTTGCTTTTAATTGAATCATCACTTTTCCCTGTATTTGAATCCTCACCGCAGAGGAACTGATGATGCTGAAGATGCAGGAAGCCAAGGCCCTCGATTTGCTGGTGATGCTGGGGTGTTGGCTGGACATGCGGGGGATGTTGAAAACGATGCTGATGATGTTGACGGACCAGCGTGAATAATACGTACATTTCGCGAGACAATGCTGTAAATTACAGTAGCCAGGATGGAAAACCCAAAAAACCCAAAACAAAAAACAAAACTAAATCTCGACCCGTTTTGAAATTCCACATTGCGTATCGTGTGAAACGGCGGTATGGTTAAGCATTGGTGAAACTCATTGGGTGTTTCTTGAAATATGTGATCCTAGCATTGCTCGGTTTCCCTATCAACACGTACCGTGTCCCAAAAATTGTCGCCGGTATTGGCTGGTTGGCTGTTTCATGTAGCATATGTGAACGCCTTAAGGACCTTGACAGCAACACTTAGGAAATACTTCATAGGTGGTATCCGAAAATGCCCCCTGGAATGGTGTTTCAAGAGAAACCCGAACTACAATTTTGGACACATGCTGCATGTTGGAGCGCATATCCCTGCAGACCCTGCAGACCACGCCTGCGAAGCCTTTTGCAGCTGGATGCAGGAGCAGGACTCCCATGAGTCTAGGCTGTTTCCCGTCATTTTGTGTTTCCTTGCTAAATAGCCAGAATGACACGAGGTCGCGACTTGTTGTCCATGTCTTGCTCGAAAGCTGCAAGGGTTTCTTGTACTGGTTGAATGACTGGCATTGTGGATTATTACGTTCTCAAGGTGATGTGGGTTTTCCCCGGTTGGTTTGACAGGCACATGTTTGGTCTTGAATTGTTTCAGCGGCGTCAAAAACACGAAGCGGAGCAGGACATTCAGGTTCTGAACGTCAACGGCCCTCGAGAGTCTTCGGCCCCCGGCATCAATGCGAGCAGCCAGGCGAGGTTGGTGCAGGGCGCACCAACAGGGTTGGACAAACTTAGTTTAAAGGCCCAGTCCCAGCGACTATCCGCAAAAGGGCAAGACAAAAAAAACTCCCCAAGCCGCGGGTGTTTCAACATGAATGTGGCTGATTGAACATGTTGAAGCGGGGGTGTGCCGCACCATGCCCACCGAAAGGGCAACTGGGAAAGCAAAGCGAACAGCCAAGTGGTGGAACATTTAACAGTTGGCAGCTTGTCTGTGTTCTCAGGAACCTGGTAGGGTCTATAATCAGGTTGGCCGATCCCTCTATTTGTCTTGAAAACAGCCCAGTGTACGGTGTACAACATGTTTCCCATTTTTAGTCAACCTTCCACTTCAACGCAGCCCAGCATGAGCAAGAATCAACAGGTTTGTATCCCGGCTGGGCAAAGCTGGTCGAAACACCCCTTGCCATTTTTCCAAAGGGGACCCCAAAGAAGGTTGTTTATTATAAATGGGTGTGGCTCAAAATTTAAGAGCTACACGGTTACGCAGGTTTTAGTCTTTGGTTCCATTTACAAAGGTGCCATTTTAGTGCATGTTTTTGAGCCACAGCCAAATGGGTATTGAAACGTTAGGTTGAAAAGTGTTAAAAGCGCATTGGGTGCTTCAGCTTGGCCCAGCCCTTTGAATCGAAGACTTGAGGGCCCTTGCCATGCCGGACGCCGCCTCAGGCGCTGCTGAAGAAGCTCTTCCAGCGCGCCATCGCGCGCTGAGACGGGGAATGTCAAACCACCCCCCGCTTGGCCATTCTAGTATGTTCTACCTGGTTTAGTAGGGACATCAATGTAACCATGTCAAAAGTCAAGGGTTTTGGGCGTGCTCACTTGTTCAATCCAGAAGGGGCGCAAGGAGTCCATGACTCTAACTGAAGTGTAGAGGCCTTATTGAGCCTGAGGCCTGCCCAAAAATTCGGATGCCAGTGCAGAGCGACCTGCGAGAGGTGCATGACAAAGAGGCGTGCTGTGCAAAAACAGAGCCATTGCCAGACTGCGAGAGGCGTGCTCAGACAATTATGGGGATGTGTCGAAATAGGGGCACCTCAACGGGGCACCTCAACATGGTTGGTTTCCCTGTACTGCTAGCCTCAAAAAAGAAAATGTATCGAGTATTGGCGTGTACGGGTTTCCCTGCTGGGGTTTCCTTTTGGCATGGAACCCGAACTGGTCGAAAAAAAGGACTTCATCAACGGGCCCAAACAGGGTGACACCTGTTTTCAAGACTTGAGCAACTTGGCCAGAAGATGTGCACGCCAGTTTTTGGTTTGGGCGCTGGCCATGAGTTGCTCTCAGCATGCGGCGCTTCGTCAACTGAGGTTTGGTCAAAGTATCCACTTCATTGAAGCAACCTGGGCACCCACTAAGTTTCCACAAAAGCCAGGGGACACGCTTTTTCAATCTTAATCGAAGTTTGTAAGACGTGAACCAGCTCACTAAACATAGCTAGGTTATGCAACTCGTTTCTCGCCGCAAATTGTTCCTGCCCATCCGCAAACGGCTTTTTGATAGATTCATAACCGTCTCTTGTATGTTCTGAACACAGGAGAATAGAGGAAAGTCACAGGTTTGTAGAAGAAACACATTAACTCCCGATGTGAGCATTTATCCATAATTCAAGAATGTTTAAACATATGAGATATGTTTCTCCTTTTGTTGATATGACAATATGTGAGGTGCATATGACATACATTGCCCCCGTATGATATAACTTATGGTGATAAGATAAAGAAACCACGCAAGCTATCTTTGCACAGACACATATCTCGACCATCGCGCAAGAGACCACGACATGTCGGGCAAATCGGGGAATAGGAGTTCCGTCTCCACACAGGTACTTCGCAAAAGAACCGTAGACTCTGCAGACCTTTCGCTCAATCGAATGGTTTCCTTGGTCGCAGTTCTCGCAGAGAAAACTAAAAACAAAGAAGTAGGGATTTCAGAAGGTTCGGGAGCAAATCTGGCCGACTTGGAGATGACTTGCCTGCCACCACAGGGATCTCCTTTGGGTACTTGATTTTTCTGATCCCGTCCGTGGTCCTTCCTTTGCCCAGCATGGTTCCTTTGCGTTTCTTGCATAGCGGCATTCTAGGATGCATGGTGACCAGCGCACACCTTACACAAGGAGAGACACTTCTGCCGCTACCCTCGGACAGGTTCCAGAAACCCTTCCAAAAACTCCTAAGAAGGTTCATTAAGAGGAACCTTCCCAAGGTAAACCACCTGAAAAGGTTGTTTCAACAATGGCTTGGACGTGAAGCAGAGGCTTGGCCCAACTCACGGCCATTTCCGCACCCCGCCGGTTTTTTTGCATAGGCGCCAGGAGGAGAAGGAGAGGGCGCGGAGGGAGAGAGAGCAGAAGCAGGAGGTGCCCCGCGGGCACGGGTTTTCGGCCCTCGTTTTGTGTTGAGCCATAGCCAAAGGTGGAACCTGGGCCTGGCGCGCATGGCTTTGGAGAGGAACCATGGAGCAACATGGGTTCTTCGAACTATGGTTCGCCCCAAAGCGACTCTTTCGTTTTGTGCCTTGTTCAAAGGCGCCCTCAAAGATCCTCAAAGACCCTTCAAAGGCGCCCTCAAACGGATCGACCGAAATCAGGGGTGCTCCAAACCTCAGAACCATGACTAGCGCACAAGGATAGGAAACTCCAAACCACCAGCAGAGAAACTTGGTGGAGGGTGTCCTTTCCATTTATCTCTTCCGATCAACTTTCTACAGGTCGGATGGGAGCAACTCTGATAATTTCACGCCAAACCTGGTCTCAGAACCTTTAGATCTTGGGTAAATTCAAGAAGCAGAATACATTGCAGGGACCGGTTTTTTGGGTCCCGTCCCTAGACTTCAGAAGGGAAGGTCAGTCCGGGGCTCCAGGCCGAGCGAGCGGAGCGCGAGCGCCAGAAGCGACTAGAGGAGGTGCGGAAGCCATCGGTGAATTGGTTCCCAGAGGGCTCCCATGCTTCCATTTGCTGAAACAAATATTTTGTTTTCCTCTTTTCTTTTAAGGAGCAGATCTTCCTTGTTGGTTTTTAAGGGAATCCATCACTGCTGGACATATGTCATCACTTTTTCCCAGGAGACTTCAGCGAATGAAAGTATGGGACCACCCTCCCCCCCTATGCTTTTTCCAAATTTGAGGTTCTCAATATGAGGGACCCCCGGAAATGGAGGCTCTTTGTGGAGTGAGAGCGGGTCGTAAGGGACAAAGTTGCATTGCTTTTGTTTTCCCTTCAACTACAAAGTGGGATTTCTCTGTAAAGCAAAACCAGTTTTGTGGGTTTCAGCTTTGCGTTGGGGATTCTCACGTCCGGCGAGCCGTGGGCGCTTTGTGGCAAGACAGTTTTAGAACAAAACAAAGGCACTCGCTACGGTTGATTCTCCTTGCGTTGCGAGCTAGTGGCAGTTTGCACGATAACACTTTCAAAGCTTCTCATATAACTTGACAAATGCCCTTCTGCATGCACACCCCCCTCGATATGCGGGACAGAGTACGCGACAAAGTGCCAGACAAAGTGCCGGACAAACTGCTGGACAAACAACTGTCCGGCAAGTTAAACCCCCCCCTCCCGCGAGAATACTTCCCTCCGAGTGATTCCCGAGTAGTTTCCCAGTGGTTTTGAGCGGGTTTCGAGTGGTTTCCGAGCGGTTTCCGAGCGGTTTCCGAGTGGTTTCCGAGCGGTTTCCGAGCGGTTTCCGAGTGGTTTCCGAGTGGTTTCCGAGTGGTTTTGCCGTGTTCCAAACCTGTCCGAAGACTTTGTCCGGGGAGTTGTCCCGCCGATTTTGTGCCCCCAAAGCTGTCCGGAGGGTTGTCCGGGGGGGGGTTGTCCGGGGTTTTGAGCCCGTTTGGACCCAACATATGAAAACTAGGTGTTTATGCAGAACCGCCTCTGTCAACATATAACCATGTTTTTCAGTGGGACAACACTGAAGGTTTGTGACGTTGATCCAAAGCCGGCCACAGGCGACATCCGATAACCGCATAAACCAGCCAGAAACCAAGAAAAAACAAACAGGTTACTCACCAAACGTCACTGTGTCAAACAACAAAGATTGACCGTGGCTAAAACAAGCCTTGGTGTTCCATACGTCCCACCAACCAACCCGTCTTTGCTGTGGGTGTATATAGTGGCCTTTCTAAGTGTGAGAAACTACCTGGTTGGCAAATTGGAAACCCCGGAAGGGTTTGTCACAAAATGGAGTACCCTCCAAATGGGTGGTTTGTTTTCCCTCAAAATAACTGCAAAAGGGGGCACCCTCAAAAAGTGACCTGTGGGTGCTTCAGATCATGGCCCCCTAAAATGGTGGGTTTCCTCTTAGTTTCCCCTGAACTAGACACCAAAAACAGATCCACCATTTTGAGAACCTCGCCCCCTCTTTGATGGCCACCCGGATATCACAGCCGTCGACGGGGGTAACCCGACGTCTTCAGGAGGACCAAGAGCGGCGCGAGATGGAGGAGCAGCTGGAGCGCGAGGCGCGGGTCGTCGGTGGAGAGGTTGGGTGCCTTGGGGCGAGGTTGGGTGGGCTGCCCCAAAGAAGTGGAATGAGCTGGCATTTTGGAGGGCAACTTCATGTGGGGGAGCTACCTTCAAGCGTTACAGGTCATTTTGAGGATGTCACTTGGACCGAGTTTCGGAGGGGAACATTCGGGGCACCGCGGGCACTTTTGATTGGACCCGCGGCTTGACAAATCCAGACGCCCCAAGGAACCTTGGTCTAATTGCGATTTAAGCCAACCGTAGCATGGCACGTGTAGACAGGTTGTCAGCAAGCTACCTGTCAATGCGAACCCAGTTGGGTATGTGTAAAAATAAGAGGACTCCAAAATCGTCGGTTCCCTTTTGTGGGCCTTTCAATCAACCCCAACATGGTACCCTTGGAAGTGGCACAAACCCAACAGAAGCCTTTATGTATTCCTTCTGAGCGGTCCAAGGGGTGGATAACGATGCGCTCCTCAGGGTTCTTGCCGCAGGGTCCCTTGGTACATTGCATGCCGAAATAGACTAGCGAATGGGCTTTTGGTAAATAAACCATCCCAGGTGCCTGTTCCTTCCATGTTTTGAGTAACCCAAGACAGACTTCAAGACAGGGGTTCTAACGAACCACCCCTGGGGTCAACTCTATGGGGTAATCAACAAACGGGGCTTGAAAGCGAAACCAAAGGGAAACGTCGAGATTTTGCCAAAACGCACAACATGGGACCCGTTTCCGGGGTATGCTCCTGGGGTGTGCGCAGCCCCCCTGCCAGCGAGGAGCGCGAGAGGCAGCAGGCGCGCCGCGAGGCAGCAGAGAAGGCGGCTGTGGAGGTGAAGAGGCGGGGAGGGCGGGGGGGCTTTAGACTTCAACTTTTTGCAAAATACAGGTGTTTTCCACTAAACCTCCAAAAGTTAAAAAAGCTTTTTGCAGGGGGGTCAACAGCAACCAAGACACCGGGGTAAAAGTTGCTGGCTGAGTTTGGGGACGACCGAACTGCAAGTTTTGAGACGATGGGCTGTTTTTGTTTGGCTTCTCGCTGAGGGAACAATGACCATTCCCCAGACAGCTGTTGACACAAACGACTTGCAGTTTGTGCCACTGGAGTTTTTGATGACCCCCAAATCCGAATTAACAGAATGAACAACATATCGAGGATCCGCTTGATTGTTGAATGCCGCGCGGCAGCCACGACGCGTGACGTTGGAATGAGAAGGGATGGTAGGTTTGTGTTTAGGTTTGTCTCAAAT